GCAGGAGCAGGAGGGGATGAGAAATGGAGATTAAATACAGAAAAAAAAGTGAAGGTTTTGCTTGTCAGCAGATTCTGCCTGTGAGAGCTGGGAAGCAGCTCAGGCTGTGTGTTGCTGCAGTTGAGGAAGCTGCAGTTCTGCAGTGTGATTGTTGGGCTGAATCTCCCTAGTTGCAAGCAAATTTTCCTCAGGAGGGCTTGATATTCAATATGCTGCTGCCATTATCAGCTCAGAAAGGAATTTGCTCTGCAGAAGTTGTGCCAGGCCCTTCCAAAGTCATGCCAGGAGCAGAGTTCTCTCTTATCAGCATGCTGATAGCTGTCTGTCTCAGCCTGCTGCAGTGCTCAGTGCTGAGGGAGTGGGTTAGCCTGGCCTGGGAGTATCTGCCAGTGAACTTTTGGGGGGCCCAGTCACTACTCCAGCCTGTTTCTTGTCTTAAATGTCCTCATACAAACAGCAGAGTGTTCTGAAACTCAGTGGAGTTTCCACTCCAGAGGTGTAGATGGTGCAGATTGCCCCTGCAATCATCAGACCTTCCTTCCACCCACCTCCTTCCATACAGAACTTGCCCTCCAGGTTCTGAATTCCCTGTTTCTGGCACTCTGCATCCCTCCATCCCTCCCTCCCTCAGGCAGGTCGTGCTGTCCCTAGGAAGAACTGCTCATGGAATGCAGGCAGGTCCTCACTGCAGCAGTGGAGGGACTTTTGGAGGTGCTGAAAACCTTTGTGCCTCCCTCCTTTCCCCTTGCAGCACAGTGAGGACACCCACTGCAAGCTAATAAGGCAGCAGGGAGCAGGCTGCCAGCAGTGAGCTGGCCTTGGGGATGACAAGCAGAAGCAGAGCCAGTCATTATTGGACAGTGCTGCTTTGTCTGTCTGTGGAAAGTCTTGAAAGCTCCTCTTCTTTTCCTTGCTTTGCTTTGTCAGCCTCTTGTTTGTTATTTTTTTGTGGGGAGTGTGACATTTGTCAGACTTGAACCCCAGCCACCAGCAGTGCAAAGTGGAGCTGGGGACAGGAGAACTGCTGCTGGTCCCTCCCCCAGCTCAGGGGTTGCAGTCAGAGCAGAGCAGGAGTTACTCCAGAGGTGGGACTCGGGTGGTGAGGGTGGTGGCATCCCTGTCCTTTTTCCTGCTTTGGTTCAGAGATGTCTCTCTCTGGACAGCTCAGGGAGTCCCTGCTGGAGGAGGTGATGGAGCTGGGGAGAAGCTCAGCCCCTGGGGTTAACCCTCCCTGCACTCAGAGCCCTGCTCTGCTCCCCCAGCCCTGGCCTGGGGCTCAGCAAAGCTGGCAGCTGAGTCTCTCACCACAAGTGGGGCCAAAACAGCTCATTGCCAAATTCCTTCTGCTCACCCTGCAGGTAGCACCAGAGGAGAAGGCATCTAGCAACCCACAAGGCTCTCCTCCCAACAACACAGAGCCCCAGAGTGGTGGGGTTGGGAGGGACCTCTGCAGATCATCTCATCCCACCCCTGCTCCAGCAGCTCCCCCCCAGCAGCTCACCCAGGGTCACAGCCAGGAGGGTTTGGGATCTCTCCAGAGCAGGAGACTCCACAGCCTCTCTGGGCAGCTGCTCCAGGCTCTGCACCCTCACCCCAAACAAGTTTCTCCTCCTGCTCAGGTGGCACCTCCTGGGTTCCAGTTGGTGCCCGTTGCCCCTTGTCCTGTCCCTGGGCACCACTGAGCAGAGTCTGGCCCCAGCCTCTTGCCCCCCGGGGCCCTTTAGCTCTTGCTCAGCACTGCTCAGATCCCCTCTGAGGCTTCTCCTCTCCAGCTCAGCAGCCCCAGGGCTCTCAGCCTGGCCTGGCACAGAGATGCTCCAGCCCCTCAGCAGCTCTGTAGCCCCCAGTGGACTCTCCCCAGTAGCTCCTGGTCTCTCCTGAGCTGAGGAGCCCAGAGCTGGACACAGGGAGCACCCTAAATCCTGGGCTGAGGCAGGAACAGTCAGATCCCAGCGAGCTGCAGCTGCTTTCAGCTCCATCCTGATGCTTCTGTAGCAGGGGGTGGAGTGAGCAGACCCAAGAGGAAAGCTCAGCCCACCCCCAGCTGATATTTTAAGAAGCTGCAGGAGCGAGGGGATCTCTGCAAAGCTGCCTGAGCCGTGGCAGAGCCGTGGAGAATTTGCTGGGGGGGTGGGGGGGAGCTGCTAAATTCAGGCTGGTGCCTTGCAGCTGGAGATTCTGATTTCGCTGACGTGCGAGTCAGGGGGTTCAGGAGAGGTTCAACCTCCTGCCCCTCCTTCTGCACAGCCAGCCTCTGGCCCCTGCCCCTCAGCATCACACCCCCCTGCAGCACAGCTCCCCAAGTGCTGCAACACTCCTGAGCCTCTCTGGCCTCACACAGCAGCATTTTCTTGTGTGGGGGTTTTTTTTTCTGCACCACTGGATGCCTTGAGAAAGAAAATACTCACTCTAAAATAGTTTCTTTAGAGATCCCACACCTGGAGCTGTTTCTCCTGGAAATGTTCAGGCTGTCTCTCATCGGGGGTCTGATCACAGGCCAGATTGCTCAGGGCTTCTCACTTTTCACCTGAGTTTTGATATTCATTCCCTCTGCCCTTGAGTTCTCCCCACGCTGACTCTTGCAGCAGCAGCTTCCCAGCTTCCAAGTGAGACCCATTTTCTTGCAGCTCATTTCATTCTGCTGCTGCACACGAGGAACCCTGGCAGATCTTGGAAGCAGCAGCTCTAGTTCAGCTGCCTCCAGCAGCTCCACGTCCCTCAGGGACCAAAAACAGTTGACAAGATTTTTCTCACTGCCTGCAAAGGTCCAGAGGTCTGGTCCTCAAGCTGCAGAACCTCTCCAGCACACTTGGGGTGCTGCTTGAGCTACAAGAGTTCTTTTAGGGATACAGTTGGCAGGAGATGAGCCAGTGTGGACCCAGGTAGCCAAGAAGGCCACCAGCATCCTGGCCTGGATCAGCACCAGTGTGGCCAGCAGGAGCAGGGCAGGATTGTCCCCCTGGGCTGGGCACTGGGGAGGCTGCACCTCAAATCCTGGGGGCAGTTTTGGGCCCCTCACTCCCAGAAGGACCTTGAGGGGCTGGAGTGTGGCCAGAGAAGGGCAACAAAGCTGCTGGGGAAGGGTCTAGAGCCCAAGTGTGGGGAGGAGCAGCTGAGGGAGCTGGGGGTGCTGAGCCTGGAGCAAAGGAGGCTCAGGGGAGACCTTCTGGCTCTGCACAGCTCCTGACAGGAGCCTGGAGCCAGGGGGGGGTCGGGCTCTGCTCCCAAGGGACAAGGGACAGGACAAGAGGGAACAGCCTCAAGTTGCCCCAGGGGAGGTTGAGGTTGGAGCTGAGGAACAATTTCTTGCCCTGGAGGGTTGCCCAGGGCTGTGCCAGGCTGCCCAGGGCAGTGGTGGAGTCCCCACCCCTGGAGGGGTTCCCAAGCTGTGGAGATGGGGGGTGAGGGACAGAGCTAGCCTCTGCTAAGAACACGAGTCCCCAAACACTTGGGCTGAGCTGAAGGTTGTCCCCTGCCCTGGGCTCTGCTTGGCCAGGGTGGAGGACCGGCCAGCAGGTCCAAGGCAGAGTAGCAGGCTGGGGCTGTGGGTGGTTCCTGCCCTCCCTGGGGCTCCAGAGCAGGACAGAGGTGCAAGGAGACAGATTCCAGAGGCCTTCAGGTGGCTGGAAGCCTCACAGGGGAGGAAGCTGGTGGCCAAGGGGCACGGAGCTGGAAATGCCTCTGCCAGCCCCACCAGCAGCTGCTCCTGCCCTGCAAAGCCACCAGCCTCCCGTGACAGAGGGAACCAGCTTGAAATGGAAAACTCCCCAGCAGAGCCCCAGGCTCTAAATTAAGCCCAGGCTGGGCTGAGAGGGGGATTGTGTTTCTGCCCTCATCCCACGGGACAGGGTGGCCCCACAGATGCCACCTCCCCCTGGGGCATTTCTGTAGGAATAGGAGGAGAGGGTGAGGAGAGGAGATGAAGGCTTTGAGCTGATGGGGGAGTTCTCCTTGCTGGGTGATGGGACCTTTCTTCTGCCCTTCCCTAGAGCAGCAGGAGGGTCTGGAAGCTCTGGTGGGGCTGGTGTGTGCCGTGGGGGACAGGCAGAACCGTGCTGGGAAGGGGTCTGGGGGTGACCATGGGGGGATGGGGCACACATCCCCCCCTCCTGAGCTGTTCTATCAACAGGGAGGTGGCTGCTGACGTCCTGGGGGGGTTGGTACATTCCCAGTGACATTCTTCTGATGGGGCAACCTCAGGCAGGATAAAACAACCCAACATGGGTGATTCTGACCCCTCTCCTTCCAGTCTTACCCCATCCAGGAGCTGCTCACGTGAAGAATAATTCTGATGAGATTAGAAATCAGGAGCAGGGGTGGGGGTTCTTTATTTTCTTTCCTGATTTGTTTTAATGATATCTATAAATTAAAGTGAGGTGATTTTTATCCCCACAGCTCCCAGAGCTCCACGCAAAGCCCAGCCCTCCACCTCCGTCACACTTGCAATCCAGCAAGACCAGAAATTACTCAGGATTTTAAAAAAAAACTCAAGAAAATTAAATTCTATCCTCTGCCAAACCCTCTCTGGATGCTGATGCAGCGGGGAGAGGCGTGAGGGGACCGGGCCCCTCCTGGAGCCGCCCCTGTATCCCTCACAACCCCAAAAGTGAGGTCCCCATCTCCTCCCAGCCCCGTGCACTCAGAGGGAAGGATTTGGGGCTTGCTTTTGGGCTCAGGATGGGGGGTGAGTGGGTGTGGGAGCCGGGGAGGGCGATGGGGACCTGTCCATCCCTGCTGGGACACAACTTGTCCTCCTGCTGAGAGCTCCTTGATGGATGGCCGTGGCTGGCCATACACCCCCCACCCCCTCCCCAGCCCCTGGAGCATGACAAGTGCTGCTGCTGCTGGGTTTATCTGCAGACAGCTCTTCATTGCTTCATTTC